CCATTACAGCTTTTCCCACTCTTTTGTTGACTATGAGGGCTACTCCATTCCTTCTACAGGATTCATGCCCACAATAGTAGATATGGCAGTCGTCTGAACTGAATTCGCCCATTCCCATCCATTTTAGTTCACTGACACCCAGGATGTCAATATTAAGTCTTGCCATCTCCTGTTTGACCACCTCCAGCTTCCCAAGGTTCATAGATCCTACATTCCAGGTTCCTATGCAGTATTTTTCTTTGCAGCATCAGACTTTCCTTTCACTTCCAGGCACGTCCACAGCTGAGCGTCCTCTCGGCTTCGGCCCAACCACTTCATCAGCTCTGGAGCTACTTGTACTTGTCCTCCACTCTTCCTCAGTAGAATGTTGGTCGCCTTTCAACCTGATGGGCCCATCTTCCGGCGTCATACCTTTTAGCCTTTTGTTTCTGATTATGGGGTGTTCTTGGCAAAGGTACTGGAGTGGCTTCCCACTGCCTGCTCCAGGTGGATCGCGTTTAGTCGGAACTCTCCACTATGTCCTGTCTGTCTTGGGTGTCCCTGCACGGCATAGCCCACAGCTTCTCTGAATTACTCCAAGCCCCTTCGCCATGACAAGGCAGCAATCTACGAAGAGGCTTTGTGCCTCAGCTCAAAATTGGGTCCCCTTTTGGACTGCAGCTCCCAGCCTGTTCCCTCTTGGAGTGCTGATCTCAAAGAGGAACGGTCTCCAGCTTTGTGTTGTGCACCTGTAGTTTTTTTCCGCTCCTACAGATAGTGCAAATGAAAGATGTTGTGTATTTTCCTGCATGGAAATCCATAGTGTCACTTTCATGTGCGGTTGCTCCTGGAGCGCCCTCTGGTGTTCATAGGCAGCCAAGTCAGTGACGTCTAGGAAAAGCAGGAGGGTGCAGGCTCCAGACCAGGACTCCACTGGTGTCCCCAGTCCCCAAAATTCTGTGCTTCGGAAGAGGAAGGAGGGAAACCGCAACGTGGCTTCCGTGGAGCTGGCCTTTCCTCTGTGAGTGGAGAGCCCCTGGGAAGCGGCAGGGGATGTGTGCCCTCTTGGACCTTTGGGAAGGAAAGGCAAGGGGGAGATTTGCTCTGCTCTGCAGCTCAGCCAGGAGGTGGGCCGGCCGGCCAGTCACCTTTGTCCTCATTCTTTTCACAGGCACTGCTGGAGACAGCCCTGACCCGAGTGGTCCTCCCGATGCCGATACTGGTTCTACCTCCCATCATCATGTCTCTGCTGGAAAAGTAAGTCTGGAGGGGAGCCTCTTCCCAGACGGGTGGGAGGAAGGAGCAGAAGGATCTTTGCTGTCCCTAAAGACCGTCATTGGGAGTGAAGCCGCAAAATCCTGGCTGTCCAGGGGGCTTGTGAAGTGGGGCGGGGCGGGCTAAGCAGGAAGGGCCGCCTTGCCTTGAATCCGGGTTCTCCAGAATCCTGAAGTCTTTGTTTACTGAAGGGAGTGAAGAATCCTGTCCGTGGCCTTCCCTTCCATGCAGCGTCCAGCCACTTTCCCAAAGTAGAACTTCTGCAGGGAGAGCAAGGGGGCTGCCCGAGGCAGGCCAGCTGTGCTGTGCCCGTAGCACCCTGGACCCTGGACTCAGGTTCTCGGCCATGGTGGGCTCCTGTGCCCTTTTCTCCAGGGCTTTTCTGGGGCCCAGCAGAGATCCTGATTGGCTCTGAGTCAAGTGGAGAACTGGATTTCCCCTTGGAGCCAGGCCAGCCCTTCTTGGTCTCTCTTGATCTACAGGCAGTCCCTCCTCCCTCTCTTTCTCTTTCTCTTTCTTGCCTCCTTTCCTGCTTTTCAGGCCCTCCTTCTGCTTCCTCCCTCCCGTTGTGCCTCTCAGCTCCCGGGGCCTTTCCTTCCAGGCCCTCAGCCTCCCCTCCTGCCCATGGACTTCTTTGAGGAAGGCCCTGAGCCGCCTTGTTGCTTGGGGACTCCAGGGGAGCAGTGTGCTACCCAGCTAAGAGGCATCTATTTTGAGCTGCCTGGTTGGTGTAGGGGAGCACAGGCGGGCGGCTGGTGGCTGCTGCTGGTGGTGCTGAGCCGGCCCCGTCTGCACCACCAGGCTTGAATCTGGCTGCCAGCAAAAGAAGGCAGGTTTGCGCAGGAGTCCTTCCAGCGAGCTGCCACCTCCCCCCCCCCGTCCAGTCTAGGGTCAGTGCCTTTCCTAGAGGCCAAGTATGATCTGTGGAGGGATCCACTTGCTTTGAAGGTAAGAGTGGAGAAAACACCTGCTGTGGATCCCCACCTGTTCAACCAAGAAACTTCTGCGCCATCTTAAAGTTCGTGCTCACATTGTGAAGGAGCTTTGTTAAGGTCTTGCCTTAACATTGTTAGAAAAATTACTTCCAGCCTTGGGCAGGTTAAAGTGGTAGCTTCGAAGAAAGGTAATGTCTCGGATGCTACAGGAGCCCAGCTAGAAAACGCACCAGAAGGAAACCAATGCAACTCAGTTTCCTGGTTTTTTAATTTTAATGGAGGCAGGCTCAAGGGGGCTGTGTCCCCGAGAGTAATGGTTGTAGAACCAGTGAAAACATTCTGGACTGTTCAAAAAGTATCCAACTTTTGAGACAGATTTCCGATGTTTCTAAGCTGGCCCCTTGACTTCTGCCACTGTGCAGTTCAGATCTGTCTGCCTTTCCTGAGCTTTGTGTCGCTCTGCGCGCACTGCTTTGAGTGCCGCCGCTGCCCTCAACGCACCTGCAGTGGAGCTGTGCGGGGGCCAGCCTCCTGGGCCCCCAGTTCTAGGCAAGGGGAGAGGCTTTGTCCCAGGGTGGCAGGTGGCCTTGAAGAGGGTTGTCCCAGTGGACGTTCTTCTCTGCACATCAGACGCCTGCCCTCCTGGTGCTCCTTCTTCCTCCCGTTCCTTCTGCGTTTGCCACTAACTCGGGATAGAGGCATCGGTGGCAGGTCTGTGTAATATAAACATGGCACTTCCAACCATCCTGCCCTGAATCTGTCAGTTTGGGAGCCTTCGCTTCACTCCTGTCATATTTAGCTTAGCATCTCACACCTTCTCGGAGGCAAACGCGGCTCTGGAGCCCCCAACCCGATGAGTCTGGTGGAGTTCCGAGAGCAACTTCCATATGGAAGGCATGGCGGAACCTCCTGAAAGTGCCGGCGGCAGCTGCCACATTATGCAAGACTTGAACCCCTAATCAGCAATGTGCTGAAAGTTGAATGAAGGTGTATTTACACGCTCTGCGACACGCCGTGTCTGCAGAGCAGATGTACTGTCTGCCTAACTTTTGCACGCATGTCATTTCAAAGAGCGCCGAGTCTGAGGCCTTTCTCTCTGGGAGCCGCCCGTGTTGCCCGGCCACCGCTTTATGCCTTGCTGCCACAAGGGACTTGTCTTCTTTCTGTGGTGCGCAAGGAGCAAGCTCGTGCTGCGTTTGCTAAGAGTCCTGAGTCAGAATCTGTCCCCTGGGTAGCGCCTTGCCGCAGAACGAGTATAGAGCTGTCTCCCTTCGCAGTGCAGTGCAGGGGCTNGGGGGGGCCTTCAGATGGTGGACATGAGATGGTAGAAGATCCTCCCTCTCTCTTCAGGAGGGAGGAGCACAACTCTGGCTGGGAGGAGCTGCCTTCTGAACCACCCCCAAAGGCCCTGTTATTGGTAGCTTGCGTTTCCTTTAATTCAGTATCTTTTGGCCGGGAGAGTCGCGATGTCAAAGCTTTGCCTACCTTACGTCATCTTACCAGGTTGTTAGGGCACATGAGATGGTAGAAGATCCTCCCTCTCTCTTCAGGAGGGAGGAGCACAACTCTGGCTGGGAGGAGCTGCCTTCTGAACCACCCCCAAAGGCCCTGTTATTGGTAGCTTGCGTTTCCTTTAATTCAGTATCTTTTGGCCGGGAGAGTCGCGATGTCAAAGCTTTGCCTACCTTACGTCATCTTACCAGGTTGTTAGGGCATCGGCTTTCGTGGGCACCGTCCCCTCCCTCAGATTGGCCTCCCTCGGCAGGTGAAATGGATGCAGGGCTATGGGGGCAGGGGTGAATGGACCGCTAACGCTTACAAGTGGCGGGGCACTCCCGCGTCGCTGGATTGATCCGTCTGCGTAGTGTAATAAAAAGCCCTTGTCCCTCCTTTGCGCCGCCCCCTGCTCAGCTGTCTTTGAGCTCTGCCGTGCCAATGCTGGGGTCTCTCTTTGATCCAAAGTGGCCGTCTTGGCCTCAGGGGCGTTGGCTGGAATCGAGTCCAAGCAAAATTCCTGCCTTAAGTCCGTCAGCAGACGTTTCAGCGGCCAATGGCCCTTGGTTTGGCTTTTTCTTCTCTCGTGCCACTTTGTGCAACGAATGCTTGGCACCAACTGCCTCTGCGGCGGACCTCTTTCTTCAGCAGGAGCCGTTGGTGGCTGAGACGTCCTCTGGTGGGCGCAAGGGAGAGGGCCGTGGCCAGAGCGGCTGAGGCCTTCATCCGCTGGCGCGTGGGCCCTGCCATTTCCGATGGCCGTTCTGGGTCTGTTGCATCAAGAAGGCACCATTAGTCGTCCATGGAAGGCCGTGGGAACAGTGGGTTCTGTTAAGGGCATGCCTCCCCTTGGATGATGAGCTGACCCGTGCGCCTCTGCTCTAGTGGATGATGGGACTGGACCTGAAGTGATGCTACCAGAGTTGGTCTCCAGCAGGGTCCAGTTCTGGTGTCTGCATCTCAAATGGGAAGTTTGTGGCTGCTGGTAGGTCATCTCTCTAAAGGAAGGAATAGACGGGTGTTTGCCCCACTGATTGTGCCGCATTTTCCCTATTCTTTTCTACATTTTTTCTGCTGATTACAAGATGTTAGTGCTAATTATGAGTGGATCTGATATTTTGGCATGGGAATGCAGTATATTTTGTTTGACCAGCATCACTTGAGAGAGAGAGAGAGAGAGAGAGAGAGAGAGAGAGTGTGTGTGTGTGTGTGTGTGTGTGTGTTTTTCTAGTGGCATAATTTCATCTTGCTTTGGGCTTGTGTGATTGCTTATCGGACCCTTATGGCCATGGTAGGGCCATGGAGTGGGGCATAGTGTAGAAGGAACCCCTCCTCCTTCTGCTCACACTGGAAAGGCCTGCAACTAAAATGCAGTTTGTAAATTGTACTTTTTAATAACATGTTTTTCTCCTAGTTTGGCACTGAGCTGATTCAAAGGCTTGGCTGGATCTTGTCAGTTCAGTGCGATTTCACTTGCTAAACATTGGAAAAAAGAAAGGGAATATTGGTGAAAGGGGTGGGCAAGAGGGGGTGAGAATGGCAGAGAAGGGTGAGGGAAACGGGAGGCTGGGTGAGGACAGGTGGGTGCCTGAAGCATGCCTCCCTGGGATAATTATACCTTTCTGTCTTGAATTATCCCAGCAGCAGCGATCTAAATACCAGAACACGGGACCGAGATGTTTGCAACCATCTAAGACAAACGCCTGCGTGGTAACACACACATGCACGCGCGCACCGGCCTTGGGTGTCTGCCTGTGGGGAAGCCCAGGCCTCCCTCAGGGCCTCTGAAAGGGGAGCGACTTGGCCAGGAAGAGCTGCGAAGGATTATCCGTGAGGCTGGCAAATGCAAGCGAGGCACCCTTGTCCTTTCCTCTTCGAGGTCGGCCTGGCAGTGGATTGTCTCTGGGTGTCTGTCCCCACTTGGTCAGAGGGTCCCTGTACCCTGAGAAATGCCTCATCAAAATGTTTTGAAATCTGCGTCTTGGGTGCCAATGGGTCACCGGGCTTGGCCATAAAAAAGAGACTTCCTCATCTCTCCTGGGCGGGTGCGAACCCGTGGAGGAGCAGGTTTGTCCTGCCTTTCCGTCCCTTTTGACCTCATCGTTTATGATCCTAACCCCCCCCACCTAACCGTTTGCACACATGTCTGTCGGTCGGTATGCGTGCGCCTCTGCGTGCACGTGTGCCTGCCCTCACACAGATACCTGCCAGCTGACGAGGGCACTTCAAGCATGTGTTGGACCAGGCGCCGTCCCAGAAAGCTTGTGGCATAGTACGTGTGTCGGTCGCTGGGTTCGCCAGAGCTCCTGTGTCCTTCTCAAACCGCTGGGCACGGCCAGGCCGGACAGTCCTCCCAGCAAAAGAGAGGAACGTTTCCTATGCTCTTCTCTATAAGTGCTGGCACACATGCCCCCATACCTGTGTTTTCAGGCATCCCCTCCCCCTGAAAAAGTCATTGATGGGAGAGAGTCAGCTCTACTGTGATGAAGCCAAACACGAAAACAGGTCCCTTTTGCAAAAAAGGCCTTCCTTCCAACATGTAGCTGAAGTTTGCATCTTTTCTGTTTCCACCCATTAATCCTGGTTCCGGAGCAGCACTTTGAGGTTTTTTTTCTTTTGCGTTATTCTTAAAGGGATACAGGTCCGTCTATCCACCACACCCCCCGCCATCGGTCTCCGAGGATGAGTGTAAACAGCAGCCCTACGCCCAGCTCCCTGGCTCCTGGCCCTTCTGCAGAGAGGGGGTGCAAATGGTAGGAAGAAGGCCGCCCCAGGGCGTTCGGATCGCCTGCCCTCTTGGGATGGGGCCAGATCCAGGCAGAGTCTGGAAAGAAAGACGGTTGCGGACCTTTGCT